ATACCCAGGACGAACCTCATCCGCCCCCGGGGCTCCGCCGCTGTGTAGTTGTTTGACTACCTCAGCAACTTCTGCCCCCGAGATCGGACAGTCCATCCCCAGGCCTCCCAGCTCTGGTTCCTCCTCGGAATGCGCATTGGTGGGATTGAGGAGCTCCTCAAAGTATTCCTTCCACCGTCCAACTATAGCCTCAGTGTCGATACCACCCACGTCTATACTTGTAAAAGCACCATGTGAACACCTGTGTGCGTGCATGCGCTTGTGTTTGTAAGGTTTCGCTACAAGACTGTCCAATAGTGAGTCTGAGGGGCCACAGACTTGCCTCGCAAGACCCGTGGAAGATGGAGGACATCAAAGCCCCAGACATCCAGAAGTCCCTCCGGAGAGCCCGCCGCAGGAGCAGCCACCACCCCCTTGAGTGTTCTTTCAAACGGTCTCTGTGTGCTATTGGTCTGCACTAGGACCAATCAGAGCAATGAAAAAAGTGATGCATTCACCGCTATTGATGTCAGTCAATGGTGCAGCCTGCCATACACCACTGAAGAAGAAGCAAATACATCCTTTTTCAAAATAAGCAACTTAAGTACTTCTATCTGCTCATATCCTAAAGAAACACTAAAGTCTAAATTGTCCAAATTTGATGCCAAAGCCACCAGGCCCCTTGATACAGGCCATTAGGTCCCTGTAAGATCAGGGCTAGTTCTTGGTTCACCATACTGGCAGCAAGTCAGGCTCGTTCACACTGACTCTGCCCAGGCTGCCTTTTGTTACCGATTCCGTCCATGACAGGATTCCAAGGCGCTGCCAGGGTGTTGAGTGAGATCTGATTCTGTGGCCTAAGAATCAGGTCTCTGCTCTTTGCAGACGATGTGGTCCTGTTGGCTTCGTCAGAACGTCCATCTATGGTTACGATGAGGTAGTGCCCGAAAGAATGAGAGGTTTTCTGCACATGTCCAACCAGAAGGAGAGCTAAAAGAAGACCCAGGACATACTGGAGGGAGCTGGCCTAAGTGGCTTAGGAGAGAGGGAAAGCTGGGCATCCAAGCCTGGATAAGCAGAAGAAAGTGATTGGATAAAGTCTGTTTTGTACGATTATATTGCATTTTAAAGCCAGTGTGTAGAAAGTTACATTATATGCATTTAACTGTATTTGTGGTTTCTCTGTCGTTTTATGGTAGTTGCATCGTTTCTCAGGTTGATTGTGTTTCTCTATGGTCACCTTTGTATTTTGTGGTTATTTTGTTTTTTGTCATCATTTTGAGGGGATTGTGCATCTCATTGTGGTTAATTCTGCAATCATTCATTCTATGTATATTTAGAAACTGTGTTTTCCAATCCAATCCAATTTTATTTATAAAGCGCAATCACAAGGCATTACAACCAGACAAGGCGCTGTACACTAAAAATGTTGGTTAATTAAACAGGCGTTATATAAACATGTCGAACACAGATAAAAGATAAAAAGGAAATACAACAAAATTCCCAAAAATAACAGCTAAAAATCAATAAGACACAGGGTGAAGTAAAAATAGGAAAAAAAAAACCATTTTACAAAGAACCTCAATAATACGGAAGTAGATAATTGTGGAGTCAGTTTAAACAGTGCAGATGTCAGTGAGGTTCATAATTATGTTGTATAAGCTAGGTTGAAGTAGTGAGTTTTCAGGCGTGATTTAAAAATGCTAGCTGTTGGTGCTAGCCTCACTAGCAGTGGTAATGCGTTCCACAGCTTCGGTGCACAGACAGAGAAAGCCCTCTCTCCACGGCTTTTTAAACGTGCATTCGGAACAGCTAGGAGGAGCTTATCTTCAGACCTGAGAGCACGCGGCGGGTTGTAGTAATGGACCAGTTCACACAGATATGGAGGAGCTTGATGGTTCAAGGATTTGTAAGTGAGAAGCATAATTTTGAAGTTTATCCTGAACTGCACGGGCAACCAGTGGAGAGATTTCAGAATTGGAGAAATGTGTTGTCTTCTGTCAGCTCCAGTCAGCAACCTAGCTGCTGAATTCTGGACCAGCTGAAGTCTAGAAAGAGCTGCTTTACTGATGCCATATAAGCAGGAGTTGGAGTAATCCAGCCTTGAGGTGATAAAAGTGTGGACCACCGATTTCAGAAGACGTACACTCAGGATGTGCTTTAGTTTTGAGATGCGTCTTAGTTGGTAAAAACATGATTTAACTGTGTTATTGACCTGGGCATCCATCTTCAGAGCCTGGTCCATTTTTACTCCAAGGTTGGAGATTACAGAGGATACATTAGGTGAGAGATAGTTGAGGTCAGGTTGTTGAGTTGCCGTGATACTGTTAGGACTGAAAACGATTAAGTCAGTTTTGGAGTTATTGAGATGGAGGAAGTTGTCAGCTAGCCATTGCTTGACCTCAAGGATACAATCAGACAGAACTTTCGTTGACTGAGTTGGCTTAAATGAAAAGTAGATTTGACAGTCGTCAGCGTAAAGATGGTATGAGAGGTGCCAAGTATGCCCAAGTATGCCCAAATGTGACTCCTCATCACTCAAAAGGAATCAGTTTGGAGGCCTATTGCTACCTTTGTTTATCAAAATTAATGAACCACCTCCTCTGGAGTTTGACTTACTCTCTCACACGCATTTTTGCACCTTGACGATCTGCATTTCAGTTTTGAATTAATTTATTTAGCTCTGTTTGAAGCTGTTGGTTCTTACTGATTTTGTTTAGTGTTCTATAAATAACCCTTGAATAATACAGATGGCACTGCTGCGTATTTAATTACAGAACGAGGAAATGTGATTTTGGTGAATTAAGTAGAATAATTGCTTTTCCTCTTGCACTCAGATTTATTTATTTTCTCTCATCAATCTTCACATATGGTGAGCAGCTTGATGTTGGTGAACAAAACCAAATAATGATTTAAAAGACAAAAAAAGTTGCAAGTTTCACTTTTAGACGTGCATTATTATCCTATGTTAATGAGGCTTTTGGAACACATATCTGCACCTGCTCTGATTGTCAGCATTAAACTCTGGAGGGATGATGAAACGGAGTGTGTGTCTCATGCAGCTGAATTATCTTAACCATGTTACATCAGCTCACAGCTGAATGTCTTCACACTCTGGATCAGGAAGCAGGAACAGCTGTGGTGCATTTTTGACACTGAAATATTCATAAACTGGTGACTCTCTGATCGTTCCAGAGGTGTTTTTGATGACAGCAGTGAAATTTATCAGGTAAATGAATCGGACGTGTGTGTGTGTGTGTGTGTGTGTGTGTTACTGATGCACTGTGAAAATTAATTTTATTGAAATTCTTTTTTTAAGCAAATTCAACTTTTGCTTTCAAACAAAACAAATGTAAAAGTAGAAAATATCTTTGATGACAATGAACATATGGACATTTTAACAAATATTCATGTTAACTGTATGCTTACACTGAAATACCAGCTGTGGAAGGACAAGCGGCTCCTGGCAGATTTATAACTTAACTACTCAAATGTTTAAAAAGAAATATGTAAATTATAACAAACTTTTCTCTCCATTAATTATTCTGATGTATGGAAGACTGAAACAGACTAAATTAAAATTAACTATGGAACTACATTTATTTATTAGCCATTATTTGTTATGTGAAACTTCTTCAGGTAAGTTAAAGCTGATATAGCAAATCTACAGAACAAGCTAGCTTTTGAAGAAAAAAACCGGTCTGGAACATTCCCCCACCCCCATATCTTCCCCGAGATGCTTCTGCTGGAACCAGAAACTCAAGATGTCTGAGGACACAAGGTCCTGATCAGCTGCTCCTGAATGTACCCAGGACTGGGCGTAAACTTAGAGGAGATTGCGCCTTTGCTGTAGCAGCTCCTAAACTGTGGAATGAGCTTCCTTTAGAGATAAGACAGGCCAGTTCCTTAACTGTTTTTAAGTCACTCTTGAAAACACACCTCTCTACCCTTGCTTTTGACACCATGTGAGATGTCCGTTACTTTTTTTTGTTTGTTTCGACTTATTTTAGCTGTTTTTGTGTGTTTCAATGCTGTTTTTATCTAGTTTTTATTTCCTATTATTGGGCTGTTTTAATTTTATGTCTCCTGTGTTTTATTTATTTCTCTTTGCTGCTTTCTGTTTTTTCTATTGTTTTAATGTATTTTTTGTACAGCACTTTGTTCCTGTGCTGGGTGTTTTAAAGTGCTTTATAAATAAATGAACTGAACTGAACTGAACTAAACACCAGTTGCTGTTTTCGGTCCAAACTTGTTGTCCGTGACTTCGAACGGTGTTTTTCTTCTATGACTCCAGTAGTTACATTTTAGACAAATGTGAGTGAACCACTCTATTATTATTATTATTATTATCTCTGCAATATATTTATAGCTAAACTACATTAGAACGTTGTCAAGAGGCATGAAAAACAGTTTTAAGTTAATTTGTTTTCCAATTTTGCCATTGAAGCTTTAAAACTAGAAATAAATCTATTAGGGTACGAAAATAAATAAATTACTGAATTAATGACGTAACACTGATGATCTACAACCAGAATATGTTGAATAGTGATATTTCCAGTCTGAATTGATCATGAAGTAACCTTTTGTTATATATATATATGTTTTTATTATTTCTAGTAAATTTTTGGAAGTAAGCTTTCCTAAATTAAAATTAAAATTAAATATTGCTGTCATAGTTTTTCCCTTCAACTTTAACAAAAAACTAAAACTCTTCTTTTTTGCTCACATTGAGTTAAAAAAAATCATGATTAATCTTCAGAAGTCCATGTGGACCAGCGCTTCCTTCTGATAAAGCCTTTGATTGTTTGACAGGGTCCGTTTGTATCGGTCAATATTAGGGATGGATCTGTATTTTAATGAAGCGGTGAGGGGATTTGAATGATCGTGCAGATGTGAAAATCGACCTGTAGGTTGACATAAATCTTTATTCCGTCGTAAAATATTGATTAGAGATTGTCTAATTAAAAATAAAATCCTTGTGGTTTCAGAAGCCTAAATTCCCATCTTTCTTTACTCGACAGGAAGATTTCCAACTCCTGGCTGAGCACCGGCTGGTTCACGATGACCATCGCTCTGGAGCTGTGTGATAGGATCAACGTGTATGGCATGGTGGCCCCTGACTTCTGCAGGTGAGGCTCTGGAGCTGAATGTAAACGACAACTTTCAGCAAAACCAACAAGCAGAGGTGGTTTGAGACAGAGCTGCATATGTAGTCACTTCAAATTCACAGCAGAACAAGTGCCTGATAAGAAAGATTGAAACTAGAGGGAATCAAGCAGCTGATAATACATTTCTGTGAGGCAGGCCTTGTTTGTGGAATACCTAAATTCACACCATGCTGGTAGCCTACAAATAATTCACCAAGAGTCCTAAAGATGCAGAGAGAAAACTCAGCCTCTGGCCATCCAACCACTGAGTTAAAACAAACGTTTTAAGTCTTTAACTTACAGAAATGCCGGTTATTAACCATTTACTGATGATCCTAACCAGCCTCATGTGCAGCTCTAAGCACGCAGCCACATTTTACTTGAATGATTCATCCTCCAAAATAGTATTTCCTAGTCTAGATGGAGTTAAGAGTTTGTTTTTACACTTACGTAACTCTGATGTGACAGTAAAAGCAGCAGAAAATTATAAAATACTTGCATGAAATACATTGGCCTTAAGAGAAAATAATTCATGTCACATTACTTGAAATTTACAGTTTTAATTATTAGCAAATTTTTTGAGAGGCTTCTAGGGCATTTCTATAAAACCTGGTGGAAGCTGTATGGAAAAACAAATGAGCCGTAATTAGTATATTAGTGGCTGCAAAATAGAAACTGTTGAAAATTAAACTGCAGCACAAAGCTGGGATGACAGGCATCCTTAAATGAAATACAGCAGTTTTCACAAGTTGACCAAGTGTCTGCTCAACACATTCTCACTCCCAGCGCGTGAAAAACAAACGCTTGGTCAGCCACCCTCCGTGTCAGACCCCTGACGCCAAAAGTGCCCTTGTTCGTCACTTATGTGCGAAAAGGGTTTTTTCCCTTTTCTAACTGCAGATCCCAGTGCAGCGTTACACTGACGCGATGGGATGTCCGCTGATGCGGCACCGAACCAGCTCATTTAACCGCACCTAAACCTTAACGTTTTGCCATTTATAATCTTCCCCTCACCCTCATCCTAACCTTAACCCTCTTGCTACCTAAAACGTTACTCTCACTGTGATCAAGCATTTTTTTCCCATGCATTCTGACTGTGAATTTTCGTATTTGCCACCCAAGGGGAATGTTAGAACATACCATCTGGCGAGGGGGAGGTTACAAACACCCTCTACTTTTAACCTCCACCTTGGTAGATGAAACCTCCCCCTCGCGTTGCCTCAGTCCAAACCCGACCAATGACGAGGCGGCTCCTGCCGTTCACTTCATTGAGCCGGCTTTTAGAGCAACCGACATCACTAACGTGTTAGCGAGCAAGATGGTTAAGGTTAGGATAGGGGTGAGGGGAAGGTTAAATAACAAGAGGATAAGGTTAGGGTGAGGTACACTGAGCTTGCTTGGTGCCCTGGCTGCGGACATCTCATCGCGTCAGTTTTACGCTGCATTGGGATCTGCAGTCAGAAAAAGGGAAACCCCCTTTTCGCACATATGTGACGAAAAAGGGCACTTTTGGCATCAGGGGTCTGACGCGGAGGGTGGCTGGCCAAGCATTTGTTTTTGACGCGCTGGGAGTGAGAATGTGTTGGCCTGCTAAAAGTCTTGAAGTGGTACTTCACTGAAAAAAAACATTTGTTAATTAACATGCATGATTATAATCGGTCACTCAGTACAGGCTAAACATGAAAATAGTCTCCTACACCTATGTCCTGCATTAACTACTGATAGAAAAGCCTGACAGATTTACGTCACACTGTCACTAAAGCTGCAAGGTTCGGCGCGGAGCGAGGGATTGTGGACCGGCGTGTTCCATCGTTGGAGAGCGTTTCTATCACAGTTTTGGCTCTCATGTCGGCAAGTGGGGTTAAACAGTCATGCGCGATTTTGTAAAGAAGTTGTGCAACAATTTTTCATTTTTGACTATAAATAGCATCCAGCGCGTCGTAGCACCTGCAAGTATTTCTCCCATTTACACCCCTTGGGCTTTAATCAGCTTGGCCCGACATCGATCCAACGTCAGCTCAAATTATTCTCAGCTGCTATCTGCTGAGAAAAAAAATCTTCCTTACTGATCCTGCTAGCTTCTCCTCCAACGATGGCAGTGGGGAATGTATAGAGCTCGGAAGACGATCAAAACTTGCTGCTACTTGCTGGCATTTTTTCACATTCATGTACGACTAATGAAAATACAAACAGCAGAACTCCATTTGTTTTGCTTTTTGCAAGTAGTGATGTATATCTGTCAACCAATCAGTGGGCTGTGTTATTGCTCAGCCCTAACCATGCCGCTCCAGAGATTTCTGGACCTACAACAGAAGGGGGCCAAAAAGTCCTGTGACTGGGTTAGCATCCAGGAAACAGCAGAAAACGTCTCGACTAGTAGAAGCTAACTGTTAGCATTAGAAACTCCACCACATCGCAGAACTCCTTAAAACTTGTGTTATTTGTGGAGATAAAACATCAATGTAGCAGCGCAAACTGATGTAACTAACGAATCATTTGTTGCTGTTAGCCAATCAGAGGCGAGATGTCTAAATATGAGGAAATAAGTGTTGAAATCCTGTTGTGTTCAGCTCAACTGTGACCTGGCTCACTTTTAGTTCCTGAAACACGCAAGATACCTCTGCAAATGTATTAAAAATGAGAAATTTAATTTAACATTTTCAATTGAAGAATTTAAATATCTTCTGCATTTTCTGTTTCTATTTTCAAGGCTTCTTTAAGATAATTAGTTTACCTGCGAATTTATGCAAAAATATAAATAAATAAATCAATACCCCCAAATAAGAAAGCAGCTTGACGCAGCTGAACAAAAGAGACTGGGAGGAATTTTAAAAGCATCAGAAAATATTTTACTTTTAGCTTTTAGTAAGGCCTTATTTCCCGGTGACTCAGACCTCGTCACTGAGAGACGCAGCGAGCAGAAACAGCAGCAGTCAGCCGGTGAATCTCCATTCTGCTCCTGGTGCCGAGCCTCGTTAGCAGAGTTTAACGATTTGATTTACAGCTCACGTCTTGTTCATCTCAGCTCACGCTTTAATTGGAGGATTTTATTGAACAAGGAACACATCTTATTAGATTTCTCAATAAAAGAGAACAAACTGTTCAATGTTCAGTATGTCCTGGAGCCAAGTTCTCATCGACCAGTGAATAATTTTTTATTTTGGGTCAATGAGTAAATTCAATCTCCACGCTCACGAAGAGTTGCCTCATTTCTTTGAGAGATTGCTTGCAGATTGTTAGAGATCCTTTAAGTCGGTGGATGCCTGCAGATTTCACTGGAAGTGAACAGACTGAGGATTTACAAACATTTATTCTTCATCTTAAAAATCCAGATGAAATTGTTTTCTACCTAATTTTACAGCTTTGTTTGCCTCACTCTTAAATGACACCATTACTATGGAGTTTCTTGTTCTCATTTATTCTCATTCGTCAGTGAAATCTCTCCATACCATAATTTTTCCTAGCTCGAGCCAATTGCTTAAGTATTTTCCCTTCATCCTACAGCTAGTGTATGCACAAATGGCTGAAAAATGACATAAAACACTTAAGAATTACAGCTTAAACATCTTTAAGCTGGCTCAAGAAAATGATTTAAAAATACCAAAAAGTTGTACAGTAACCCTAGGGAATATGACAACAGATCAAAGTTCACTTAGGGGTGAAATATCCCTTTAAAGGAAATCCAAAATGTTCACAAGAAATCTCAATTTACTCAGAAAGATAGAATCATCATGGGAATCTGGAACCCATCTAAAACTGTTCCTTTGAGGACAAACAGTCATTTCAGCAGGAACGTTGCATGATTTCTAATTATGTGTCTACAGTTAGACCCAATCAGCAGCGGCTCAGGAGGATTAAAGAGGACATCAGAAGCTCTAAGATATCCCGAGTTTTGATTCTGGTCCATTTCAGCTGTCATCTGTTTTCAAGTCTGTCTGAACCTCCATGTTAAGAGTGTAACGTCTACGTGATGATCAATTTCATCTTGATTTTATAAGAGCTAAATGAATGTTTTTGCATCTCTTTTCATCCCTAAAATGGTCACCAGAATAATCTTGAAATGTAAAAACCTTGCATGGAACTCCAGAGGCTCATTAAAACCTGTATGACAGCTTCCTGGTTCTGTTTCTGTCACTGCAGGGAGCCCCAGCACCAATCTGTCCCTTATCACTACTACGAGCCACGCGGCCCGGATGAGTGTGCCATGTACATTTCCCACGAGCGCGGCAGGCGTGGCAGCCACCACCGCTTCATCACGGAGAAGCGGGTATTTGCCAACTGGGCACGGACGTTTGACATCCACTTCTATCAGCCCGACTGGAGCCCCCCGCCGCTGCCAGCCAACCGGACGCTGGAGGGGACGGCCCCTGCTGCTCCCCAGAAGACGTGACTGGATTTTGGGGTTGAAGAAAAGCTTCAGACATGGATGGATCTGTGGTGAACACTGGTGCTGAGGGGACCACTGGACACCAGTCACCAAAGGAGTGATCCAGTTTGAGAACATCGTTAAGAGATGAAAGGATCATCAAACACTTCCCTGAAGCGTGTGTGTGTGTGTGCGTGCGTGTGTGTGTGTGTGTGTGTTCACCAGAAGGATCACAGATCACTGGTGTTAGGTTTCCCTGTCAGATGAAAGGTTCGTGCAGGATTCACAAACCATTCAAGCACCTGAAAATGCATCAGGGTAGTCTAGAAAACAACGTAGGCTGAAAACAAACGAAGGTGTTACATGTGACTGTTGCAAAGTGTGAATCATTATTTAAATGTCAAAATAGTCTGCAGTTTCTAAAGACTGTGTAGGTCAGCTTGGATGGGAATCTGTAAACCCTCGTCTCATGCAACAAAAGGCTCAATCTCTGTCAAAGCAGCTAAATAAATCACTCCCTTGGCTTTCGTTTACTCTGCCTGTGAGATGTGTGCACAACGAGCTCATCCAAATCAAACTTTGCTCTGCAGCACATCCGGGATGATTGGCAGGTGTGTAACTGTCTCTGGGATGTTTTATCTTGTGTGTGCGCTTCTTTCCATCCTGTACGTTTATATTATAAGTCTTTGTTGGCTCCTGTCAGCAGCTAATAGTGCAATTTATTTAACTACAATGTAAAAGCTCAGCCATGTCACAGAAGACAAGTGTGAGATGAAGATCGAGAGCTGGAGAGCAGCAGCGGCATCCATCTACCATATTCATCTGCTGCTTCTACTGTGAGCCTGAATCACCTCTTGGAGAAGTGACACAGTTTAGAAAAATACAGTATTTTTTTTTTGTTAACTTGAGCGTGCGATCTGTCACTCTCTTGCTCTGGATTGTATTTCATGAGCTGCATGTGAACCTTTCCTCTCGGTTCTCCTCTACTTCATGAATAAAAACCAGGTGTCAGTCAGGAAAAAGTGATGAGACACACAGTTATTTTAATGATACATGCTGTTACTAAGTCCCTATCGATTTTTCCACATCCTTGCAACATGAGTAATGGGACAGCAGACGCTGTAGGTCAAATACATGAGTGCTCTCTCCACAGCTTCCTGTTTCACTCTACACGATTACCTCTAAAACGTTGTAAACAGCTGCAGGTGCCGACACTAAACCACAACAAAGACGTGTTTTTACTACCAACCATGTGATTGCTATTTAAATCTGACTAAATCACTTAGAAGTATAGTTATCAGTTAGTGGAATTACAGTCAGGTCCATAAATATTGGGACATCGACACAATGCTAATATTTTGGCTCTATACACAATCACAATGGATATCAAATGAAACGAACAAGATGTGCTTTAACTGCAGACTGTCAGCTTATATTTGAGGGTATTTACATCCAAATCAGGTGAACGATGTAGGAATTACTACAGTTTGCATATGTGCCTCCCACTTGGTAAGGGACCAAAAGTAATGGGACAATTGGCTTCTCAGCTGTTCCATGGAAGAAGAAGAAAATATCATTTCTATAGCACCTCTCAAGATAAAAATCACGAGGCGCTTCACAAAAACAAAAACTGTAAAAATATAAAAGAGAATTTAGAAAATGTTAAAAAATAGGCAATTGTGATTTAAAAAATGTTAAGAAAGAGAGAGAGTGAACAGGAAAGAGGGAAATCAGTGGATCCTGAGGAAGGTGGAATAGGTGGGGAGAGCAGAATAAAGAGAGAGTGGTGAAGAAGGTCATACAAAAGCCAGCTTGAACAAGTGAGTCTTCAGCTGCTTTTTAAAGGAGACCACTGAGTCCACTCAGGCTCAGGGGAGGGAGTTCCAGAGTCTGGGGGCCACAGCAGCAAATGATCTGTCACCTTTGGTCTTTAGCCTGGTGCTGCACAACCAGTAGGCTTTGATCACTGGACCTCAGGGACCTGCTGGGGGTGTAGGGACTAAGAAGATCACCAATGTATGATGGTGCTTGTCCATGTAAGGCCCTATAGACCAGAACCAGGATGTTGAAATGAACCCTGAAGTTGACTGGCAGCCAGTGAAGCTGGAGGAGAAGCGGAGTGATGTGGCCAGGTGTGTGTTATTCTCTCATTATCCCAGTTACAATGAGCAGATAAAAGGTCCAGAGTTAATTTCAAGTCTGCTATTTGCATTTGGAATCTGTTGCTGTCAACTGTCAAGATGAGATCCAAAGAGCTGTCACTATCAGTGAAGCAAGCCATCATTAGGCTGAAAAAACAAAAGAAACCTATCAGAGAGATAGCAAAAACTTTAGGCATGGCCAAAACAACAGTTTGGAACATTCTCAAAAAGAAGGAACGCACCGGTGAGCTCAGCAACACCAAAAGACCCGGAAGACCACACAAAACAACTGTGGTGGATGACCGAAGAATCCTTTCCCTGGTGAAGAAAACACCCTTCAAGTTGGCCAGACCAAGAACACTCTCCAGGAGGTAGGTGTATCTGTGTCAAAGTCAACAATCAAGAGAAGACTCCACCAGTGTGAATACAGAGGGTTCACCACAAGATGTAAACCATTGGTGAGCCCCAAAAACAGGAAGGCCAGATTAGAGTTTGCCAGACAACATCTAAAAAAGCCTTCACAGTTCTGGAACAACATCCTATGGACAGATGAGACCAAGATCAACTTGTACCAGAGTGATGGGAAGAGAAGAGTATGGAGACGGAACGGAACTGTTCATGATCCTAAGCATACCACCTCATCAGTGAAGCATGGTACTGGAAGTGTCATGGTGTGGGCATGTATGCTGCCAGTGGAAATGGTTCTATTGTATTTAATGATGATGTGACTGCTGACAAAAGCAGCACGATGAATTCTGAAGTGTTTAGGGCAATATTTTCTGCTCATATTCAGCCAAATGCCTCAGAACTCATTAGGCAGCGCATCACAGTGCAGATGGACAATGACCCAAAGCATACTACAAAAGCAACCAAAGAGTTTTTGAGGGGAAAGAAGTGGACTGTTTTGCAATGGCCAAGTCAGTCACCTGACCTGAATCCGATTGAGCATGCATTTCATTTGCTGAAGACAAAACTGAAGGGAAAATGCCCCAGGAATAAGCAGGAACTGAAGACCGTTGCGGTAGAGGCCTGGCAGAGCATCACCAGGGATGAAACCCAACGTCTGGTGATGTCTATGTGTTCCAGACTTCAGGCTGTAATTGACTGCAAAGGATTTGCAACCAAGTATTGAAATGTATAAGTTTGATTTATGGTTCTTATTCTGTCCCATTACTTTTGGTCCCTTAACAAGTGGGAGGCACATATGCAAACTGTTGTAATTCCTACACCGTTCACCTGATTTGGATGTTTATACCCTCAAATAAAAGCTGACAGTCTGCAGTTAAAGCACATCTTGTTCGTTTCATTTGATATCCATTGTGGTGGTGTATAGAGCCCAAAATGTTAGCATTGTGTCGATGTCCCAATATTTATGGACCTGACTGTATGTGGAGAGCTAATGAGTAGTAAGTGTCTTACATGCAGCAGGGAACCGTCAATAGTCTGAGTTAATCTGATCAAAAACTTTATTAATAGCTCAAATTAATTGTGCAAACCTTTTTAGATTAACTTCTATAGAAATGTGAATGACTGGAATCTTACCTGCTGTAGATGGCTCTTTGAACAACCTCAGTTTGGAGAAAAAGAGATGGTAACAGCTGGGCCAAATCAAAGTGTGTCACCATCTTAAACACAGTAAGATAGCATTGACAAACATGATGTAAAAAGATGTCAAACAGCAATAAAAAGACAAAGACAACAAAATACAATAAAGATTTAAAGCTATGGGGTATGCAAGTAATCTTTCAATATTTACATGTCCCTCAAGTCTCTCTCCTGGCATCTACGGAAGTACAAGCCTATGACTTTTACCGACTGAATTATGAGCTTCCAGTCAACGAGAATGCAACCCAGTACCCACCATGCACTGAGGGCAAATGCAGACGCCACCAGCTTATCCCACCTACCTAGCTTGAATGCTAACTCAACCTGCATTGAATTAATGTTGGTCTGTAAATGTTAAGTGTTATCAGGGGTATGCTAGAATCCTGAGTGCTGAACTATCGGTTTTAGACGTAACCTGCTTAATATGATTAGCAGCACCTGCAGCTCCCAATGAAATCTCTATTTAGCAGTTAGTCAGAAAAGAGCAGGAACATGTCAAAAACATTTAGTGTCCATTTGCGCTGTATAAAGAGTGGCCTTTAGCCCCTTCCAGAAATTTGGTGAAATCTCATTTCAAATGGCTTTGAAATCAACTTTGGACTATTTAGAATTGGGCTTTGTTTGAGTCAAGAGCAGATAAAGGTACTTAAGTCATTTATTTAGAAAAAGGATATATTTGCATCTTTTTTTAATGGAGTATGGCGGACTGCATTGTTGTGGAGACAGTTTTAAAGACAACCATAGATCGTGCCCCGAGACTGAGATTCGTCCATGTGTCGAGGCCAGACTACAAAATCACGTATATAGGACGGCCTGCCAGGCTAACGGACCACAGCTTCAAACAAGAAACAACCAAAAACTGTAAGCTGTGTTCCACCTCCAGGTTTAAACATGTTCTGCAGCAGAGCTAGCTAGCATTTTATAGCTGGCTTATAAAACAGAGCTCACAACTTTACTCAAATGAAGTTGAAGTGATCAATAACCTACACTTGTATAGCGCTTTTCTGACTCGGAGCACTCCAAAGCACCCCTGGGGCACACTGATGGCAGACCTTACACCTGCGCCACCCCTCCGACCACCACCAGCAGGCAAGGCAGGTGAAGTGTCTTGCCCAAGGACACAACTGTGACATGCTGAGGGGGGTGCGAACATGCAACCTTCTGGTTTTGAGGTGGACACATTACTCCTCTGCCACCTTCTCCCCGAGTTACTTTTGACATATTTTTTTTACTTTGATAATTGACACAATTACTTGAAAAGAACATTTTGTATTTACTCAGGTTTTAGTCTTTGCAGATCTGGAATACTTAATGGGGAAAAAAGCTAAATCAAGAAATTTGTGACACTACACTAGAAGCAGTTTGTTTTTTCTAAATACTAGTGAAAACCAGACGGGGTGTTGTGGCCAAGAAATAACACTTGATTTATTTTTTCCACAACCCCAAAGACGCAATAACTTAAATTCACCTGACCCATAAGGAACAAAAATAGTTAAACAGATTAGCTAATTAAAGAGGATTAATTAACAGGTTGTTTTTGTGAGATCCTTACCCGTCTGAGCCTAAAACAAGCAGCATTTCCTGCACGGGTGACTTGTTTTAAACAGAAATGTGATTTATATGCACAGAGCACGACAAACAGATTTACTCACCTGTCACTCAAAGGTGCTCACGAATAATAGGGCATAAAATTAAGTCTTAATATAAATCAGTGAAGTGAGTTATAAAACAAACGATCTCACCCAAAGCCAAATAAATAAACCATGAATCCAGATCTGTTTAAAAATTTAATCACTTGTAAGTTTGGCCTCAGGTGAGATTTACACAAAAACCCATCCAGAACAGTTTTTAAAATAACTACAAAGATTAAGTTTTATATCAGGCAATAAATATATTAAACTTGCTGCTATGATGGAGTTTGAGAATTTTTTTTAGAAAAAAAGCTTCATATCTTTGCAACAAAAGCATCATTAGTCTTGAAAGATGTTGTGTAACTCAGGAACTCAAGATTATTACGTGGGCATCAGATGTTTCCCCAAATCTCTGCAGCTTATGAGGGCAGGTTTAAAGTTAGAAGTTATGATCAGAGCTCTGCAGATGTGGTAAAAAAAATAAAACTTACTTTTTTCCCAGATTCCTTATAAACTAGTTATGAAACTGTCTACTGAAAACAGGCAAAACTTGACAAATTAGAATAAGTTAATTTATTTCAGTAATTCGACTTAACCCTTCCACATTCCTAATGGTGCTAGATGAACCCCAGGTGATTTTACTATTTCTTTTATTTCTTCACTTATCCAGATGTGGCGAGAAGTCCTGTGAGAATTTCCAGGGTTTTGGTCCAAATTTTGCCCTTTGCAGTCCCGGTGAGGTCCAATGGACACTGTGTGTGCTGTTTTGAGTTTCTCTGTTTCCTGACTAATCCAGCTGCAGGAAGCCCTCTGGTCAGAGTTTTGAGTGAAATGTAGTGGGCTTTTTTTTTGTTTGTTTTGTTTTTTTATTCTTGAACCCACCCACGTTCCTATAGGGGTCACCTGGGAGGGTTAAAAGGTGAAACTAATTCATGAGATACTCATTTTATGCAAATCCAGATATTTCAAACCTTTATTTGATATAGTTGTGATCATTGTGGCTTACAGTATAAAAACCCCAAACTCAAAAGCTCAGACAATTAGAATATTGTGAAAAGATTAAATATTTTAGACTCAAAGTGTCACACTCTAATCAGTTAATGAAACAAAAACACCAGCAAAGGGTTCCTGAGCCTTTAGATGGTCTCAGTCTAAGATGAATTACTGATATAAATGAACTTTTGCACCATATTCTAATTTTTCCTGTTTCACCTGTATTTGCTTGAAAGCTATAAGCAACACCATGTCTGTGTTTTTTCTTTAAGCATAGAGTTTTAATTTCCTTACTGAGAATTCGGATATTTTTACTGAGTAATGAAGAAAACTTTGGGTTTGTTTTTGCAGGAAAATGTCAAGTTTCATTAACTGCTTGCGGGCAGATTTCCCAATAACAGTTTCACCCCAACAAAAAAAACATTTTCCTGTTTTTGCAGTTTTTTACTGAGTTTGTGCAGAACTTTAAACCCATGAGGCGTTTTAGTTCAAACTAATAATACTAAATGATATTCTAAAATGCTATCAGAGTGCTGTCAGGAGCAGATTATCAGTGTTTAAACACAAAATGCAGCTGCATAAACTTTACACTCACAATTTTGCTCCAGTGATATTTAGTCTTGGTGCTGTCTGTAGCAAGATCATGCATAATATTTTGAAGATAGTTATACACAAGATTATCTCTGTTTAATAGAATGCTATCTTTAATTTAGTTTCAATTAGAAATCCTTTCCCCTTAAGGGCTGCTACAGCAAATCATCTGGCTCCATCTCCCTCTCCTCAACATCTTCATTCACCACATTCATAAATTTCCTCTGGTCTTCCTCTAGATCTCCAACCGGGCGGCTCCAACTTAAGCATCCTTCTGCTTTTACATCTAAGGATGCACAATATGTCTGCAGTATCAATATTGGATGAAATTAGTTAAAGGTGCAATATGTAAGAATTCTACAGCGGGGGGAAAAATCACAAAAACTATATCACAAAAACTATCTTAAAGTCTCAATCATGTTGGAAGAAAGGAAACAGGAATTGAAACAGATTTGCGTCTCAGTTGGCTGGGGGGTTGTCACTTTTTCTCCTCTCAAAATGGCAAAGGAGGGGTGTAGTTACCGTTAACCATCTGTGAGCCCACAGGATTTCCTAGTCTGTGCCAATCTACTGCTGCAATGTGATTCGACACCAGAAGGCAAAATGCTCCAGAGTTGTTTTGAGGAATCAAAGCCAGTAAACAGGAGCGACCCAGAAGTTATTTCTTATACTACTAAGAAACCATGGCATAGTTTTGTTTTACTTTACTAGGTGAAGCAGGCTGGAGGCTAACATTGAGCTAACAGTGCTGATGGTGATTTGGAAGCAAGTAGTCGGCTCTAAAAATATCTCGTTATGTTTTCAATTACCAACAACTCAATGTTACAGTAAAATGTGTGAGGTGAATAATGATTAGATCATGGCGTTTTGCTTCCTCTGATGAGTGGTTCAGAACTATATTAGCAAGCTAAAAGCAAGACAGCCAACTCCACTAAAGCTGAAGGAATTCTACCGTAATGAGTGTAGTAAGCGCTCCCTACCATAAAACACCCAAGAGCTCATCCAGAATCTTCTGGCACTGATCCGTAACTGGCTACAGCCATGAAACTGACGGGAGTAAGAAAGTGATTTTTTGTTCAAATAGACTACAGTACCCACATTTGTCCACTGGATGTAATTCTCACTTCATTTTAACACATTACACATTTACCATATCGTATTGGTCCAGTAACTGAAGCTGGGCCTATCAACAATCGATATTTATTTCCATCTAGTTGATGTTTGTGTATCTGTTTCAAAGGGGGCTTGTCATGTAGTAATTGTTTGGTCATGTGACCGTGTTGGTGATTATTTCAGAAGCATAAGTAAGTCCATCTCAGTCCAGCCTCAATGATTTAATCGCTAAAACATCTAAACATGAGCATCTTTGTCACTCCTACCAAGCTCATCTTTAATAGGTAATCTTCGGTTCTCCCTCCTCCTCAGTCCCACCTTATCGAGAGCCCCTATCTAACACATTTTAGATGTTTCCCTGCACCAACATACCTAATAATAGTTGGATCACCTGTTCAGCGGGTCATTAAGCTCTGCAGAAGCCTGACGATCACGGGTTGAGGCTGAGAAACTGGTAAATTTTAGCGACACAAACACATATTCACACTAAAATGCTCCTTTATGAGCTCCATTAAACCAGTCTGGGTCCAAATGAACACCTGTGTTGAAGCAAAGAAATCCCTCGTTTCTGTCTTTTCTCTGCTTCAACACACCTGATTATAATCAGCAGGAAGAATTAGAGGAATCCAAACTCCAGTTTAGAAAAATCTTTAACTTGGCAGAGGAACAGAAAGGCTCACTGTCACCCACTGCTTCATTTGTAAAGAACAGGTCGATATGTGTGCACCCAGAGGCCTTTGTGGTTTGAACAACCTGCATGATCTTTACAAATCATTATGTTCGACTTTTCAACCCCAAACTCCAACATCTCTTTGGAGGAGGCTGCTCCACCATTGCTTGTCGCTGGTTTTCTCTCCCCAGTGAGTCAGGTGTGATGGACACCGATCTTTATTAGCATACAGAAACCATAGCGACAGCAGAGATGGAGCATGAGAGTTTTTCCAATTCCATCTACTGAAGCAGGGGCAAAAATAACCTGGTGTCCGATCTGAAGAGGGTTTAAGATCAAACATCTGAGATGCAGCAGCGTTGAGTTATTTTGTCTGCTTCCAGGCTGGATGGATGAGGATATTTGAGCAGCTGCTTAAAACGGGATTGAAAATTAGATTTATAAGCCTCTGTGGACGGAAATGTTTTCCTGTAGGAGTTTAATTCAACTCAAGCTTTGTGGCATAAAACAACTTTTACTGTGTGCTTAGTGAAGCATGTGTTTAAGGCTGTTAAAGTCAACCCTACCCACAAACAGTGTCTAAGATGTGGGGAACTTTCCAGATTCTGAATTTTGTCAGAAACTGTGAGACAACTTTGTAAGGCACTGATGACAAAAACTGCTCTAAAAATAATGAATACAAAAATTTGTGGCATAATTAAGACACCGCGTGACTCAAATACAACCTTAACTATTGCTAAATGTTTGCATGCACCGAATATTCCACCGTGACCCAGTTTAAGTGTTAAACCTACCAAGTAGTCGCCACAAGCCACAGCCTGCAATTAGGAAAACAGAAATCAGTTAAAAACATTTATTCTTTTTATTTTATATTCAATCAAATGTAATTTCACTGGGGAAAAAAACAGTGTTTGATCCCTTTGAAAGGAGAGTAAAACAAACAAGATTACAGGAAATATAAGGAACAGGAATAAGAGGTGAAAAAAAAGCAGCATAAATAATGTATAAGAAAAGATAGCCGGAGCGGCTGACGCAGCAGCTGCTGCTCGGTACATATGGTTTCATTACCAACTCTGTCCTTTTTTCATTTCAGCTGCAAGGTGGATTGGCAGCGTGCAGCCGGTGGGCGGGTTTCACGCCAAGGAGCGAAGACAAACCACAACCAGTTCAATCCTTACACCTTTAGAATCAATCTCACACTCCCCCTCCGAACAACAAGCCTAATGCAGAGCAGCTACACAAGGTGAGAAAGGTCGTCTTTTCTTTTGGCTTCGCCCTAAGAGAAGGAGATTCGTTTGGGCTGGTGGCCCCCTGGGGGGCACTCGCTTAATGCAGCTGTAGAACCAGACACATCAGCCAGAATACAATCAGCAGTGGAACTAATAGATGTTTCCACATTTAGTGAATGAAAACAGCTTCCTGGTGTGAGATGGGATTATCTGCAATAGTTATCTTTCAGGACGGTACCGCATATGAACGTTCAATAGATATCTCTCCACAGAGCTCTCACAGCCAATCAGCCTTGCACGTTTTTTCTTTTCTGACCCAGCAGACGCACCGAGTAGCACTTAAACAAATAGGCTGTGGCTGCTGAAATATGCACGGCGGCACGCTCTCGCACCAAATTAAATTATCTGCGGGCTCAGTTCGGTGCTTTTTTAAAGCGTATCAATGCAGCTGAGGACTGGCGTGACGAAACTCGGCATCGATACAAATAAATACATTTGTAGAAGTCCTTAGTGAGGCAGAAAATAAAAAAGTGAATGCAAGTTCTTTCAAATAAAAAAAGGCACAGTTTTTTTTTTTTTTTTTGTAGTTTTCAGAAAATCAGTAGTTCTTGCTGCACACTTTTCCCACTTTCAGAGCAACATGGTGGTCACAAACAGCACTCTAACCTCCACCCTGATCCCTCCAAAAAGGACCCTTGGTCCTGAGGTGTCCAGATGTGCGAGTAGCAGGTCCTCAGAAGATGTGTTTGAGGTGCTTGATGCCGTAAGTCTTGAAAAACACCAGGAGGATTAAAGTCCACAGGCCCAGGATGAAGCCATCGGGAGGATGCCAGTCTTTCTGCTTTGGTTTCTGTTAGGAGGAGGTAAAGAGGAAGGAAAGCAGAGGGGATCGGGGTGAGATTGCATTTTGGTGATGAGTGTATATTTCTCCTGTTGAGGCCCGTGCTGATTGTTCTGTCATTCACATGGGCAGACAGGCGCAGAAACACACACACACACACTCTCATTATGTCTCACACACAAACTCAAAAGGATGGCACAGATACACAAGCTCATCAGCACACCTCCCTCGTCTTGTGTTTGTCCCATTCACTGCCACATCATCACTTTGTGTATGATTATACTTTTAAATCTCGTTCATATTAAACACGCGACTCACAAGTAGCACATTTATATGCTAATGTGGGGGCAATATTCTGCAGACAGATTAGATTTAACCTCTAAAAAATCTTCCAAACTCCTTTGCTGGCGACAGAGCTACAGATGCACCTTGAGGATGCAGCGAGGAGATTTCTGCTATCTCTCAATTTACAAGCTGCCATCATCCAGTCAGAGCAAGCAGAGCTAAACTCCACTGCACGTTCAACCTCAGTCATCCACAGATGCTGCAACCTCTCCTCGGCAGGAAGCCTCGCAGTGAAACTTCAGCCAGTCTGAATCTGAATCAAGACAAACCTGATTCGTTTTCACACATCCACGACACCTCCTCAGCTCAACAAGCTTCCCGCCGGCTGTTTTGGTTTAACAGACATTTTTCTATAAAACCAAACGAGCTGCTCTCATCCACTCACATAAAAACAGCAATTTTCAGAACAAAGGACATATTTTTACCGTGCACCACCTGCCCAACAACAAGCAGACAAAATTAGCTCCTTCTTGGTGTGAAAAAAACCCTCAAAAACACTCGAGCATCAATCAGACTTCATGCTGATTATCAGGAGGTGAGTAAACACAGAGGGCTGCTGGCAGAAATCTTATTATCATCAGACGTTTCTCAGGTTTGGTGACACCTCACCCGTTTTACTAAGTTAAATTTACTATGCAACTAACCAGGGGAAAGGCTCGAGTTATTTAATTGTGGTTTGACATCATGAAGGGAAATAAAAGCACGTTTTAAATGACTGACAGGTTTTGCCTGCAGGCAGGTTAGAATAAGTGAATACGTGTGGAGATTTCCCCTAAAGAATTCCCCTGTAAACAACATCTGAACGGCAGCTTATTTAGCTCCAAAATCTGTTTATTTTTTCTGCGACGCCCACCGTCAACAAGTGCTTTAGATTTTAAACATTTCTATTTTTGTTTCATTAAGCCAAAGTTAAATTCAGTCATATAAGTATTTATCCTTGCGTTTGAACATGAATTTCATGAATCCTCACAAGCATATGCATCAACATAACCTCTGAACACTTTACAGCCGCGAATGTAACCAGAAATTGCTGCATTATAGTCGGCACACTCGGGGTAACAAGTCAAATTGCCGCACCGACAGAATATTCCATCTAACACGATGACTCAGTGGTAGTATTTCAGTTCTGAAGTAGTCCAACTTTCATCCAATTCCTCTCAAATGGGCAGCCTGGTATTTTACAGAGCCCCCCACCCCCTTTTACCCAAGAAGCGAGGAGTGCTGAATCGGCAAATGTGGGGAGGAATCCTCAGTTATATTTGTGTGCACATATAAATGAGAGGCTAGCACGTGGAATATTGAATCGTGTGCTGAATGTCCAGTGACTGAACCCACCACCCATTAAATGCCAGTGAAATCTGGTTTTAGCAGCTAAAACCACACTGGTGGAGACTGCAACAACGCAGCACCTGTTATATTCTCCCTGCACACCGACAACAAATTAAGGCTCGACTGTGGAGCTCCTGCTGACACAGAGCAGGCTTAAATCAGAGTGATGATGCACTTGACCTCTCAGAGCATGACCTAAAACAGCATTTGAACCCATTAATTTAGCTTAAAACGTGCACAGAAAAATGTCTTTAAATGATGAATATAACTCAGTGGCTAAAATCTTGAATTAGCTTAACAACTCTCAGTGAGGCGAAAAGTTAATTTCACGCTGCGAGTGTGTGTTTCCACCTTTGTGCAGACCCGTGTGTCTTTTCAACGCCGTCTTCCATCCAGACTTCACTCTGTGTGACGTTGTTGTCATTTTCCAGCGTGGAGAGGCCGAGGACGGCAGTAAAATTGGATTACGTCTGACTCGCAATTTATTTAACAGCTCAATCAAGGCGATCAATAGAGCTCTGCTGCCATCCTGAATGTTAAAGCAGCCCGAGGTAGGAGCAGCATTAGAGCAGAAGGTGTTAAGAGCTGCTAATTCAAAGTCCCTTTCACATGATAAACTCATTTAGCTGATTTTTTATCATGTTTAGTCCTCATATGAAAGGCAAATCCAATTTTAAGAAAAATGACTAGTTATTCCGGGTATTGAAAGCAGAAGATGGAAAAATAAAATAATGAGTGTTTACAAGGTCGTGAGTTTCACAAATACAGGTGCTGGCCAGTAAATTAGAATATCATCAAAAGGTTGAAAATATTTCAGTAATTCCATTCAAAACGTGAAACTTGTACATTATATTCATGCAATGCACACAGACCAATGTATTTCCAATGTTCATTACATTTAAATTTGATATTCATAAGTGACAACTAATGAAAACTCCAAATTTGGTATCTCAAAAAATTAGAATATTCTGAAAAGGCTGAATATAGAAGACACCTGCTGCCACTCTAATCAGCTGATTTACTCAAAACACCTGCAAAGGCCTTTAAAAGGTCCCTCAGTCTTGTTTTGAAGGCACCACAATCATGGGGAAGACTTCTGACTTAACAGCTGTCCAAAAGACAATCATTGACACCTTGCACAAGGAGGGCAAGACACAAAAGGTGATTGCTAAAGAAGCTGGCTGTTCGCAGAGCTCTGTGTCCAAGCACATTAACAGACAGGCGAAGGGACGGAAAAAATGTGGTAGAAAAAAGTGTACAAGCTCTAGGGATAACCGCACCCTGCAGAAAATTGTGACGACAAACCCATTGTAAAATGTGGGGGAGATCCACAAAGAGTGGACTGCAGCTGGAGTCAGCGCTTCAAGAACCACCACGAGGAGACTCATGAAAGACATGGGATTCAGGTGTCGCATTCCGTGTGTCAAGCCACTCTTGAACAAGAAACAGCGCAAGAAGCGTCTCGCCTGGGCCAAGGACAAAAAGGACTGGACTGATGCTGAGTGGTCCAAAGTTATGTTTTCTGATGAAAGCAAGTTCTGCATTTCCTTTGGAAATCAAGGACCCAGAGTCTGGAGGAAGAGCGGAGAAGCACAGAATCCACGTTGCATGAGGTCCAGTGTAAAGTTTCCACCGTCAGTGATGGTGTGGGGTGCCATGTCATCTGCCGGTGTTGGCCCACTCTGTTTCCTGAGGTCCAGGGTCAATGCAGCCGTCTACCAGGAAGTTTTAGAGCACTTCATGCTTCCTGCTGCTGACCAACTTTATGGGGATGCAGACTTCACCTTTCAACAGGACTTGGCACCTGCACACAGTGCCAAAACCACCAGCACCTGGTTCAAGGACCATGGTATCCCTGTCCTTGATTGGCCAGCAAACTCGCCTGACCTTAACCCCATAGAAAATCTATGGGGTATTGTGAAGCGGAGGATGCAATACGCTAGACCCAACAATGCAGAGGAGCTGAAGACGACTATCAGAGCAACCTGGGCTCTCATAACACCTGAGCAGTGCCACAGACTGATCGAGTCCATGCCACGCCGCATTACTGCAGTTATTGAGGCAAAAGGAGCCCCGACTAAGTATTGAGTGCTATACATGCACATTCTTTTCATGTTCATTCTTTTCAGTTGGCCAACATTAGAGAAACAAACATTTTTTCATTGGCCTTTAGAATATTCTAATTTTCTGAGATACCAGATTTGATGTTTTCATTGGTTGTCACCTATAAATATCAAAATTAAACGTAATAAACATCGGAAATACATTGGTCTGTGTGCATTGCATGAATATAATGTACAAGTTTCACGTTTTGAATGGAATTACTGAAATATTTTCAACCTTTTGATGATATTCTAATTTACTGGCCAGCACCTGTATTGTGGGTTCTTCTAAAACATGGATCTCGTCCAAGTAACCGCAGCTTTTCTCCATAAACAATGAAGCATGTCAGGAGTTAAGATCCATCAACTCCCACGTTCTGTTTTAGTTCAGCCGCACTTCCCTAAAAGAGCCGACAGGACCGTGGCATTCAGGATCTCCCCAACTCTGGCTGAAGTATAAATGAAACGTGACACTGGATTTTCCAACAGGAAAAACAAACAACTTCTTTCCTCTTCACTAAATCGGAAGATACAAAAACTTACCAGCAGAATTTTCATTCACATACATCAGAGAGAAAGCTCACGGAGTCTGTAGATCCCATTAGGAAGGTTAATATGAAAAATAAACCGCATGTCAGTTGAGGAGAAAACTCTACTGAAATCCTGGAGAGGTGGAGCCAGAAACTGGACCAAGAGATGATGTCATCCCCCCACTGCTATTGCTTAGTCAACAGTAATTATCCAAGAAAGAAAACAAATATGACGCCTTCAACGTCCACGGTTCTGCTCAGTTACCAGTTGGTTTGGTTCACGTAGAATTTTTTTATTTAAAGGGTTCTAGATTTACAATTGGAAATTTTCATTGAGCCTCTAAATAGCATGATGGGACTCACAATGACCCAGGAGTCCTGATAAATAGCTAACATAACCCATAGGAAGCTTTACAGTGAACGGATTGGTTAACTTTGCCCATTTGGCCAGCACATCAATATTAAATGAGCTGCATTCTGATTGGCCGGTTTATCTAGGAGACATCATGATGCTGCTTTAAGCTAGAAACTCGTACAGTCGTGTAGGAATAAAAATAATTATGGATCCATCTGACCTTCATTCACAGTCTGGATATTCCTAGTGCATCATGGAATGTAAGTGGTGCAACAACTTTCTTCTTTGTTGACTTCCTCTTGTCCAACAAGGACATTAGCAGTAGCTCGGGCTAGTGTTGTTCAGTGG